TTCTTCTGCATATCCCAGAGACTCCGTCAGATCGTGCATTCTTTATGTACAGAATACAATCGAGAAACACAGGTTCACATCTTATTTGGTATTGGTATACAGGCCTCGCCTTCTCTGCCACATTTTGCTTTGCAATCATTTCTCCGAATCACATTTCTTTTCGTATTTCCATGCCTGCGCCATACTTTTAGTCTCCAGGAATTAATTATATTGGAAAACCTTGCCTATGCAAGGCCGTGGGGATTACTATAGTAACCGTAGTAGTAGAGTCGTCGGAGTAGTAGTAGTAGTAGTAGTAGTAGTAGTAGTAGTAGTAGTAGTAGTAGTAGTAGTAGTAGTAGTAGTAGTAGTAGTAGTAGTATGTAGTAGTAGCAGTAGTAGTAATAGTAGTAGTAGTAGTAGCAGCAGTAGCAGTAGCAGTAGCAGTAGCAGTAGCAGTAGCAGTAGCAGCAGCAGTCGTCGCGAGAGTCGGCTAGGGTAGGGGTAGGACTACGGTGAGTAGGCTAGATCAGGAGTAGAAGGTTTGCTAGTGTTTCTATGATTATTACTATTGTTGTTTTTTGTTTCCATGTTAAACCATTTTTTTGGTATTCTTGTAGTGTTGTTATTGTTGTGATTGTTGGTAGTGGCAGCAGCTACGCGCCATTATTGGCAGCAGTATTAGGGATGCAGCCTAACCTGCCAAAGAACCGGAAATCGCCAACAGGGCAAGTTCAGATCACCAGAACACGAAACCGTGCCCCGCACGAGTTCTGAACTTCCAGTCCTCAAAATTCTGGGATGACCTCTTTCAAAGGGCAAGGCAGGTTAAACTCAGTGCCCACCCATCATGAAGCAAATCCGAGAACCGCGGGGCAACTGCTCACGAAGAGTGGCTGGGATGTTGCTGTGCTCGCAACAGCTCGGTCAGCACTGTTTCCTCGTTCCAGGGGCTTTCGTTTTGTGCTCCGTAGGTCAATTTCAGTCTTTTCGAGAAACCCTGCGAGAGGGCGGGTAGGATTTCGTCTTTCTTAATCTCTTTCAGAAGTCGTGAGACACGCTATGCACTCACGGCAAGGGCGGCGAGCAGTCTTGAAACATCTTGAAGTTGTGAGGACCAGCAGAAAAGTTGTTTCTGCGACGCAGTTGTTGTGCCGTTGCGGCATAGCCAGCTGCATCATACGTTGAAAGCTCAGAAGCAGATGGGTACAGAGTCTCGCTTGCGAGTGGGTTAACCACCAAACACGTGTCAAGTGTCGCCGGCAGAGTCCACGTCCAGTCTCAGTCAAGTGTGGAGAGAAACGAACGTATCGCTTACAGAAGCATCTGGCAAAGTTCGGCAGTTATTGTCTTTCAGTTATGGCTATGCTGTGCCACAGGACCTGGGTGAAACACCTGGTCATGCTTGTTACAGCGTTCTTCGGCGCATGGGCTGCGTGGCTTTGCACTTCCAACTTGCTCCGGTGCGCAGAGGCCCATGCCCAAGCAGCCTGAGACCTTGTGAGTTGTTGGGGCTGCTAGGGCAACAAGGCAACAGGGATGATACAGGTCCGGGTGAGCCGTCTTTTGCTGCGCATATCTGTGCATGTCGCTGTTCTTGAGATGCTTGGGCAGGTTGAGTCCCAAGTGCTGAGTCGACACATCATCAACCTGATCATTGTCATAGGTGGGAGCGCAGTGGAGATGAAGGGAAAGCAAGTGTCACTGCGACTCGTGCAGGACTCGGTTTCCTTGGGCTAGTCGCGCAGATCTTATGGCAGCCGCGCGGGGAACGAAAGATGCGAGCCTTGGAATGCTAGCTTGTCATCGCTGGTTGAGATGTCGCGAAATTTGCCCGACGATCCTTGAGCCGGGACTGCTCAGTTTGCTACTAAGGCGAGGTGACGGTGGCAGGAGGGGTGTAATGTGGTAAGGAACGGGCAAGCGCCTCGGTTCCTTCCGCTTGCTTCGCCTCTTTGCATGCCCAATGCTCTGGCTGTTCTCTAGCTTTGAGATGCTTTGAGCGGGTCATGTGCGGGTCGTGGTGACTCTCGCGCCAGCGCGATGTCGCAGTGTACAGGGCCCGTCACTCGAGTTGCAGGAGCAATGGAAGATCGTTAGGCTCCACCGGTGCAAGCAAAGCTATGGATGCCTCTGATTGGGTCGCAGTCCAGGAGTTTGATTTTGTCGGGGAGCCTAGCTTGCAAAGTTGCTTCCTCCGCCATGATCAAGTAATTAATTCAAATTATGCAGAGGCCCGCCAACGATCATTACACTCAAGCGCAGTGTTGTGATCATGAGCTTCGTGCTATATTGGCAGTGCGCAAGTCTGCGTGGAGTGGCACAGTCCACGTCTCGAGACCAGGACCTGCAAACTGCAAATTCAGTTCCTCGGCGAACCGTAAAGACGAGTTAGCAAGTCGATCACAAGGGTTGCATGCCAGCTGGCACGTCAAGCATCAAACCAACACTCCTTCCCGGTACAATAATGTTGCACACATGAACAGAGCTGAGGGAAAGCGGAGCCAGCACTGAAGCTTTTGCTGCAAGAGCTCGGAAGGATGCGACTGCTGTTAATGATGTGCTGCTCGGGTGATGGAGCCCATATTCGCCCAGCATGCCCAGCCTCTCAAGATCCACAACCTGCGATATCTTCGGGGCGGGAACTCCAGTTGCAGGTTTCCGCCCGTGACTGCGATCCGGGACAGACGCCCAATCAGATCAACATAGACGAGCCAGCTCGGGAGTGCAGACCAGCGGATATCGTGTGGGGGTTTAGAGGAGGCTCCTTTTCAGGTTTGGGTTTACGGATTCTCTTACAGTAGGTCTTCGGTTCTTCGCACCTTCTTTGAACATTGGAATCTACGAAACAAGGTGATCCAGTTCGAAGTGGGGTGTCCGCACCAGCTGCTGCGCCTTCTTCGGGCTTGGGGCTTTCGACCCTCCCACTCCTTCTCGTGGCTTAGGTTTCCACACGCACCCACTGTTTACAGTAGGAGGTTTGGGTTGTTTGCACCAGCTACCTCCTCTTAGGGTTTCTTCGCATCCACACTCTTTATGAGGGTGTGAGATCTAGCACCGGCTACTGGTTTGCAGGTTTTGGGCTTTCGCGGAACATACTCCGTTAGGGGCCTCGGGCCTCAGCAGCCACCCACTCCTTTCAGGTTCAGCTTGCATTGATGGAATCAAGCGTTCCCGTGAGACCGCATTGCTGGTCAAGCAGCAATTACGGGTCTCAAAAAACTTGCAGCTTCCGCCAGCCACTCCTCTTAGGAGTCTGGTTTGTGGCACCCACCGACTTTACTTTGAGGTCTGGGTGTTCGCGCTCATTGACTTCTTCCAGGATTTCGGATCTGCCAGAATGCACTCCCTTTTGGGCTTGGGCTCTCGCACCCACCTGCTCCTTTCAGGGTTTTGGGCTTCCGCACCCAACCACTTCTCTGGCTTTGCAGCAGCTGCTCCTTTCAAGGTGTCGGGTTTCGCACCCGCACATTCCGCCTGGGAATCACCCGCTCCTGTCGGGGGCTTTGGTTCTCGCAGCAGCTACTCCCGTTCTTCAGCACCCACCCACTCCTTTCTTTTGGGGTTTTCGGTTCTCGAACCAGCTAATTACTCCTCTTGGAGATTTGGGTTTTGGCACTTACCCACTTCCTCTAGGGTTTAGGGTTTGATCGAGGTTTGGATTGTCGCACCCATCCACTCCTGTGTGCAGTACGGGCTTCACGGTTGTACATAGGGTGTCGGCCTTGTAAGCTCATGCCTTTCTGTTGATATTGGCTTGCTGCTCCTTCTGGCCCGGCGAGGGCACGTTGAATCGTGGACCCGGGCCCGAATGAAACAAGACTTGCTGGTCCGATTCTACCGAGGCAGCGGTCCGTCTCTGCAGTCGGCAGCGGTCCGTGAGGGTGGAAACCGGCTGGACTGTAGAAACTTAAACTGGGCGAAACCGGAATCCTCAAGTCCAAACACTAAGACCGTTGAGGCCTGGGGACTGAAACTCAGCGCCGCTTCACAGAGGTCATCTTATTTCATGGAGTTAAGCATCCGTACGATGGCCGAGGTCGGGTCGAATCGGGCCGAAGGACTGGAATCCATTGGAATCCATTGCGCTTGATTGCCGGCCATGGTGTGACCTCAGTTTCACGCACCAAGCTGTAGCACAGCCATCGAGAGAGGACGTACAGATGGGCACTGGGTATGGAACTTCCAATCGCACGAAAACAAAAGCATTCCGACAGTGTCTGAACAAAGAACTCCTTTGCTCGTTTGCACCTCGAAGCGATGCCTGGATGAGCCGCTCCAGCCCCGAGCTCCGTGCAAAGGCCACCGAGGGATCAACGAGTTTCAGACCTCAGGGCAAGCTTCTATTTTATTTTTCACACTTGCAGAAGTTCTCCGTCGAAGTTCATCTTCTCTAGCCCACGAAACATCGGCCATTTTTCAAAAGCTTGCCAAGCGACGCAATTAATTCTCGAACTGGAGAGGTTTCGCCAAAGGGCCCTTCTCCACAAACACCGGCCGCAATAGTCCTCTCTCGCCAGCAAACACCTCGTACACTGAAACTGCAGGGGGCATTCTGTGTATTTGGTGCGTGCGCTACGGAAGCCATATTTAATTTGGTAGGTTGCCTGGCATGCTCGGCCATAGTGAATGCACCGGCAGGTTTTTGCACATCCCTACATGTGGTCATTGCGTGGTTGCAGACCCCCTGACCCTGGCACAGTTCGAATTGCACAGAAACAAGTGACAGATGCCATGATTTAGAGCTTAAGTCATGTGCACTTCCAGTTCCTGCCTTCAGGGGGATGGACGACTCCCGGGCGGCTCTCGGCCAAACAGTCGAGTGCAGAGGCCCTTCAAGCTGACCTGCTTGCTGAAGTTTATTTGGGCGGTGGTGGTTACTGTTACGGTGGAACGCTTTCGGATCTTTGCTGTACGAGACACGTCCACTCAGAAGCCTACATTCATTGCGAACTCTCAACGGGTGTTCTGGTGTGCAGCTGATGTGGCCGAGGCCATACTACAAGGTTCGGATTCCCGAAATGCTGCTGCCGTCGCTTTGCCCTGTGAATGATGTGACCCGTGCCGCGGCGCAAGCAAGAGCATCGTGCTGTAAGCTGACAGCTTTCGAAATGCTGAGTAGTTCGAAAGCGACTTTCCGAGCTGTGGCACTCCATGACACTCCTGGCCAGACCGTCGTATGCAGCCAGGAGATGATCAAAAACACAACGGGTAAACTCTGCCGCCGTTCCTACAGCTGCCCGTGGGCCCAACGAGCTAGCAGTCCAGCCTGCCGGAACTTACAACTTGTCTTCGTACTTGTAAGCACGAGAACCCAGCAAAAATAATGCTTGTGATTATTGCTCAGGTGTTCGGAACATTGGCAAGCCGCTGCAAAGCCGCTATGGAAGCTTGATGAGTAGAAGTGGAACTGGAGCCACGTACCGTGGCCGACATTGGCGGTCTGGGTCTGGGCATGCAGAGCTGCGCCGAATGTCGCTCCAATCAGGCCGACCCTTCCCGCGACTCCATCGGCTTCTTCGTCTTCTTTGCCACAGCCTGCACAGCCTGCACAGCCACCACCGGCACAGTCGCAGCATTTCCGGTTGCCAGCAGGCGGGGTGACGGTAGACTAATTCAAAACGCCGGCATCACAATGCAGTTCCAGCAGTGGTTGCTGTGTTGGGGATTCATGAGGATGTATTTCTGCATGATGAGGTACCCTGGGCATCGTCTCACAAGTGGCCATACAGTATGCCGTGAACCCATTGAAGGAGGGACTTGGTCAGTCCTTCGTGCTAGCATCAAGAATTGAGCCAATGACATGCATCGGCCTTGGAAGCAAAGCCCTCTGCAGGATTCGCGGCTGAGGCCATCTCCGCGTTATGAACTGCCTATTGAGGCTTCCCCGAGGCTGTTCAGATTTCCGCCGGTGCTTGTTCAAGCTTGCGTAAGCTTCATGCCTGCTGCGCGACCTTGCCGTTGCACGTTGGAGACGTTGGCAAGACCTTTGGATTCTGGCTGGCTCGTACGTTTCCACCCGCTGGCCTCAAGTTCGCTTCAACTTTGCGGCAGAGCAGGTTTCCCAGAAGGTGCTGTGCTATATCCGACATTATCCGACCTTTATAACTGCAAGATTCGGGTGTAGACAGACGGGCATAGCAGGCGCGAGTTAGCTTTTTCAAAAGGCATCAGCTGTGCCCTCGTTAAGTAATCATTTCTGTCATCGTCGTTTTCATCATCGCTTCAGAAACTGTGTGAAGATCTTCAAGAAATTTTCAAACATCAGCGAACAATCATCGATTTGCGGCCCGGGACCGCGGAGGGGAGGTTCCAGGAAAGCCCGAGAGCTGTTCTCTTGGGATATCTCAGGAGATCTTTTCGAAAACTCATCGAACTTTCTGATAATGCCGATGATGATCCCGTCCTGGCATGAGCACAGGGTTGGAGTGGCGGCATAGCTGTATATAGAGCCCTGCTTCAACAAAATGCCGATGATGATATGATGATGCTAGAAACGAAGATAAAATGATAAGCTCATAATTTGACGATGTCCAGTCTGTGGCTGGCTAAGAATCGCACACAGGCTGCTGCGTGCGCTGCAAACCTTGTTTTTGTAACCTGCTTCTGGTGGACCACGCCGTGCCAGTAATTCCATGCCCTGTTAGCTGGGGAGTTCCCGCACATTCAGCGCTATGTATGCAGTTCCTCAGATCATGGAAGCAAGTCAGCCGCTCGACTCCACGTGGTGCTGATGAAGCCAAGTCTGTGTACCTTGTATCCGCTCCTGCTTCAGAACACAAGAACAATGTTCTGCCGCTGCTTATTACTTCGCGTCGCTTTGCTTGGACCTCTGCAGGCCCGGACGACGGAAGTCCGCCGAAACACCTTTGGAGGCGACCCTGGAGCTGTCCTTGAGATGATCACTGCTTAGACATGCAAGCAGTCCAGCGGTCCAGCGTTTTAGGATCGCTACAAGCAGGTAAATCCAAAGGACAGGTGCCACTGGCTTCAAAAAGACAGTTCAATGTTGTCAAACGCAGCATATGTGTCAATGAAAGAACACGGTATGGTTCAACACTTGACAGAGAAACCTTCACCACCCCCTACCTGAAATAATTGAGGCCTCCGGTTAAGCCATACACAGCGAGCTTTCTGATGTTTTGTGAAGAAAATCACTCACTGCAACTGCAGCTGCGATCTGTTTCCAGCAGCCCCTGCTGACTGCAACTCCAGTGGTGCGACGTTTGATGCGTGTAAGTTAGTCAAACAATTCTCATGATGAAGGGGCGGCTGCCCGCAGTCCTTCACGCCGGTTTTATGAGTGCAAAAGACCATTTAAACTATTCGGCGACAGATTTTTAGACTTCTGGAGGCTGGCGGTGCTTCAAGCCTCCAGCCCCAGGCCTGCGTCTCTCCAAGCCTTGGCCTCATCATTTTGGAGTTTCTATTACTTTGAAAGCTCCCAAAGTAGCTGATGATTTTGGAGATTTCTAAAGCTCCGAGATGATGTGCCAACGGGCTTGGCCTATCTTTTGCAGTTTCCAGGTAACCTCCAAAACGATGAAAAAGAGTGCTGCGGCGTCCTGCGGCTCATCATTTTGGAGTTTCTATGTGTTTGCACAGGGGGGGAGAGACCTGCGCCTACTTTTTGCTTTTTGTTGTGGGTGGGGGCGCGGGGGTGGAGGGGGGCGATGATGTTCTGTGTTTGAAGGTGCACTATGCTACTCTTCCTGTTGCAGCTTCATGTTGATGTTTGCATGGTGATGGATGACATCGGTTCTACTGCACCTGCCACAGGAAACGGGCTTCCTCTGGGGTTTGTTGTAGGGCATTTATCATTCCAGATTATACCGAGTCACATCATCACGTGTCGTTTGATGTCATGAGTCATGATATATCATATCATTTCATTTCACATCACGCCACGTCATGTCATCTCCTATCAGGGTTAGATCACGTCAGTCACAAGACGGGTTGCTTCAGTAGATTCTCAAACCTATGTTAAACCCTGTTTCGTGTGACAGGCGTGGTAATTGCGGTATGTTCGCCAGTGCTACTTGCGATCTACTACTTCCCTCCTAAGGGCCTCACCAGGCGTTAAGCGCGATTAGCTGGTCCAAAACTGCAGTTTTGAGCGTTTCCAAACTGCAAATGCAAAAAACAATATGTTGTCAACAAATCCAACACGAAGCCTGTTTCGCGTGGCAGGCGCGGTACAATCGATGTAAACGTCCGTTTCGAAGCGCGCCGATATCCCCATGAGGATGTTTTAGTTTTTGCAAGCTCCGAGATGACGTGCGAAGGTTTTTAGGCACCCTGCGCGTATGAAAGCGTCGAGATGATGTGCCGCAGGGTTTCGGCGCCCGGCCCCAAGGCTCATAAATTTGGAGTTTCTATGTTTTTGAAAGCTCCGAGATGGTGTGCGAAAGTTTTTCGGCGCCCTGCGGCTCATCATTTTAGGGTTTGTATGGTCTTGAAAGCTCCGAGATGATGTACCACAAGGGTTCGGTGCCTGCGGTTCTGCGGCTCATCATTTTGGAGTTTCGTTCTTTGAATGAAACCTCCGAGATGATTTGCTGGAGGTTTCGTCGCCCTGAGGCTCATCATTTTGAAGTTTCGAAGTCCTGAGAAATCCCGACGGATGAGCAAGCTCATCGATTTGGCGATTGGCAGGCCCTGAGAGCGCCGTGCTCCTAGTTAATCATTCAACAGCGGCCCCCTACGAGTCCTTCACAGAGATAGTTTAAACAACTTGCTGAAGCTATTTTCGACTGGAATCCGAGTACTTAACCAGCGCGTTTTCAGATCCTCACACAGCGAAGACAATTTGTCATCTTCGGTGTGCGCAGTCATTATCGGATCGAAGCAAGAGAAGCACTCACTTGAGGAACAGAACAGGGATGAGCGCTCTGTCGAATCTCATAACAGACGCCAGGGGCAAAGCGTTTAGACGAATTTCTTGCTTCGACGAGGAGCTGCCGCTGCCATGCAGGGAGTCCATCGCAGACTTGACCACCTCAGTGTCGCAGCAACTTGGCCAAACGATGGGCGAAGCCTGCAAAACATCGTCTGAGCACCCCCTGCTTACGTCACACAAACAAAGCTTTTCCAAGCCCCTTGGGAGCAGGAGAGAGGCACGAAGAGAAACACAGGTTCCGAGACCCGTCCCAGCGATGCTTCAAAGCCCCAATCCGAGCCAGCAGTCGTTTTCCAACCGGAGTTCCTCGAGCTGAGGGTGCTGCACAAGCCCACTGTTGCATTGAAGCGCTCGATGCACTTGATGGACGGGCTGCAGACATTGCGTTGTTTGGGAAGCTCTGGTGCTGACGTATCAAGCAGGCAGGATACACTGTACTGCCACATACTGTAACATGGCACTTCTTGAAGAAATCATGGCAGGCAGAACATAGACTTGCCAACTTACATCGACCACTAGAGTGCACAAATGCTACTCGGTAAAATTCAATGCTGCCAGCTGCCGTGGCCAGGTCTCCCACGATGTCCCCACGATCAGCACAGGACCTGTATGATATGCTCCTGGTGACGTGGATCCCTTACAGAGACTAGAGACAGGTTCCGAATCCAAAGGGCGTTTCACGTACGGGAGGAGGAGGAGGAGACTTGGGCAGATCCGATGAGCCCTGCCAGCTTGCTCAGTCCGCCCCCCACTGCACCGGCCGACAGCCCAGACTGTGCAAAAACGATTCGCGACAGCAAGCTGCGCGTGCAACGAGCTGTCTCCTCGGCATTCTGAGGACACCACTCCGGTTAGCGCCGCGAGCCCAGGGCATTCTTTGACCAAAGCGCCGAACGCCAATTACAGACATGTTTCGTCCCCGATTGACAGCACCGCAAGGCCGCGGCTGCAGGTGCAAACGGATAGGCAGTTTCTACACGTCAACTCATGCAGCTTCTAAACTGAAGTAGCAATGTCGTGCGAAAACATAATGGCAACATCTTGGGTCCACTGTGCCTTGCGCCACGCGCAAACACAAAAAATCGACATGTCAGCCAACTTCGGCAGCTCAAACTGCAGATTTTCCTGCATAGTCATAGCCCCCTGCACAGGCGACCGAGTGACCATGGCATACCGTGGCCAGGAACACGCCTACGATGCCCCGAGCAGTAACCTCAAACCAGCCACTAGACGACATCCAATAACATGTCCACGTCGGCAAGCTTTAGTTACAGTAGTTACACTGTAGGTAATTGCCATGGTTTGAGCTTTGATTTCATGTTTTTGCTTCTGTGCCGCACGGCACAGCGGGCTGAAAAGCTAATCTTTGAGATGCCTACGTCCATGTTTGCCACATGAGAGTTGTTGTCTCAGGTGCGAAGACCGAAAGCAAGCGAAGAGGCTTCAATGAACTGCAGACGGCTTGAATTGGTCCTTCATTCATATGACCCCTCAGCCGCGCGTAAAGAGAATATGAAATTCATTAGATCTGCCTCAGGGCTTGGACCTGCATACGACTCGGAAGCTTGTAGGGCGTCGACATGCACGACAGGAGGGGATCGTGAAGCAGCGGTAGGAATAGGTAGGAGGGATGCTCCAAAGTGTTGTCCCATTTCTTGTAAGGCACGCATTAAAGCCGTCGAATCGACAAGTGTAGAGAAGGCAACCGTACAAAGGTTATTCGGGATTACAGGTACCGTATATGGCGCGACAACAGGGAGCACGGACAAATCGAAGAGCCTACGGCATGTCTCCCCCTGCAGGGACCTACAGAGGAGGATCCTTTGTTGATCGCAGTCCTCAAGGATGTGCAGGCGAGCTGCCAATCTTGGCTGATGAACACTGCTTGCTTGCTTTATTGTTTTCAGGACACCTCGCAGTCTTTGCTTCTGAAGATGAAGCGCATCGAACAGGCCCAGAGCATGGTCGAACCCCCAGACAGCAGCGCAACAGAGTCGAGCAGCTGCCTAACGGGGTCTTGCCTTCTGCAGAAAAAGCCATAGACTAGTCTCAAAGACAGTTTCAGTGCGACTTGCCCGTGCCTCATGTTAAATTGCATTTATAGGCCTTAGCGCAAACTTGAGCCTCTCGTCGGCAGCATGTTGAAACTGGTGGCACGAGGCTTGAGAAAAAGTATGGTTTTGCTGCATGCCTGCAATGTTGCTAAAGCTGTGATTCGATGCTCTTTCTTGGTCTGCTTGCAAGTTATGAGGCGGCGAATCAACTCGACTCATCCAGCACGAAATCCAAAAGCCCACTTACTCGACACGCTCCGTTTGAGGTGAAACGTTGCAAGGGCACTCGCCATCCCACGAACCTGGTGACGGATCGAGTGCGCCTGGTTATTGCTGCTTGGCTCCATTTCATGTAATGCTTCCGGAGAGCGTTTGTTTGTTCCAGTAATCTTCATCTGGCTGCCGATCGCTGTCTAGCTCGATGTCCGTCTCGCGCATGTTTCGGAGCCTGTGTTTGATGCGCAGTTCAGCCACAAGCAGTCTCCTCACCGCGAATGACGCTAATGTCAGATAAGGAGCGAAAAGCTTCGCTGCTGCGACAGGCGTCGTCAAGTAGTGTGTTGTAGTATGTTTGTAGTGCAGTTTGCGCCCGGCACTGCGACTCGCTGGATCGCCACCGATGACCGTGGAAAGGTCGAAGATCGGATGGCAGAGTTCCAGGCTCGTGTTGCAGTCGTGCTGTGTCACGAAGGCAGCAGAGATACGGGTTAAGTCTGCGCCAGAGAGTCGTCAAGAAAGCCCAGCCTGCCTAGCGTGTAATCTGCCGTCAACAAAATCTCACCACAGCTCTACGTATGATGTGGCCTGCACAGCTCAGGACAACAGTACTTGCACCAAAGTTCAACTGTAGGGTAACTAGAGTCCAGAGGTCTCCATCGCCCATACGCGGATCAGCATGCACCAATGGTAATCAACACGAGAACTCGACGACGACAGCCATGGAGCTGTCAGTGCGGCTTGTCCCAGCTATGGCAACATCTTGCCGAATGTGCCGTCGCAGCAGAGGCAGGCTTTCGAAATTCTGAGGGAGTAAGCCAGACGGGGCAGTGCTGCGCGGACACCTGGTTTCGAGACTTGCTATCCTTGCTTGAAACTTCCCCTGTGTAAGAACATGCTTTTGGGCAGCTCGCATGCAGCTCACCACGTGGAGCACTGGGATCATTGTGCGTACGGCTGGCAGGGCCGTCAGACAAAGGTTGGAGAAGTAAGAGGACGAAACACATCGTGGCACGAAACCTCGCTGGTATAGGATGCATCCTGAAACTCTTGCAACCAGCTGGGCTTTGCAGTGGGGTGACATATGCAGTTTCCTGGCCCTTTGGAGTGCCATGTGGTTCTTTCTGACCCGTCTCGATTTGGCAAAGAAGGATTGCGACTGCGGGCAGACACAATCGTCGCACCAGCATGCGAGTCAATGTTTTGTTCTGTTGTCCCCATGTTTTTAAGCCCCCGCAGCGGGGATCACATGCAGTGTGATCATTGGGTTCACATCGAGGGGAATGGGCAACACAAGTAGGAAGAGACGCGACAAATTATGCTGGCATAGACCCCAACGGAGAAAGAGCACCCAGCAGCCAGCAACGATCACGTCTACCCTGAACTCAAAACATAGTGTCACTACCATGTTCGGGCAACACAGCATCCAGCAACATTCAGTATTCTGGGGTCACGTGCTGCATTTAGAATTAGAAGGACTTCACATCAGGGCATTGACGCTACACATCCAACACTGCGGGGATCTAGCCCAGGATTTGCAACAAGGGAGCTCGCAGTGAACATGAGCAGGGCGTCCAGCACAATGGGTGAACTACACAAAGCATGCAGCCACAGTACGTGCTGCAAATACAACACAAGCGAAGCTTGCAAGAAACACCGAACATTAAGGAGTCGAATGCCAAACCTGAGCACCCAAGTACACCCTGCAATGCGGGCTTCGTCCTTGCTAGGTAGGAGGGAAAAAAAGTACGGGCCGCATACCTATGGGTCCAACCGGGTGAAGCGTATGTAGACCGTATGCTACACCACTGGAACGTGGGGTGATGCGGGGTGCATGTTATCCAAAAGTGTGGAGACCCAGAGGATATCAGAGGATCGAGTTTTGCAGGGCAAGTCGAAGCATTCGTCGAGTTGGGGTCGAGCAGTTACGACGAATCACAAGCCAGTTCTAGCGGAAGAAACCATTTGAGCGGTACCAGTGCGGCTAGGTTTCGGCTTGATGATAGGTGGCCTAGCCTTCGAGGCCTTAAAGACCCATCCAGAGGCAATGTTGAAGTTCGTGTGAAGAAGCTGAGAAGGACGGATCACGATGCCGTGTCCCCTGCAGGCACTCTGCGGCGGTGCATGTCTTCACGGCACCCGGAGCACTGGCACAAGGAATCCTGTTGTATTGTGCGAAGGTATCCAGAGTTTCTGCTGGGTTTGGTGAGCTTGCCTGATTTCTTCGCGGTGCATTCTGGCCAGGAAGATTAGAGAGCTGTGTCTCCAGCTTGCAAGGACCCAGACCTTCTGGCAGCCTCCAGCGAAAGTGCTCAAAGTACCGGGCAGCTGCAACGATTCTGAGCAGAATGGTTAGTGTTCACAGCGTTGACGACGGATGCACGACAAGTGCTTGCATACATGTTGCTAACTAAGAACATGTTTCAAACGAGATGGGGGTGGTGCCACGAATGTGCAGCAGGGAGTAATCAAGCAAGTCGTGTGGATGCGATCACTGTGAGAGAAAGAGCCAGAGTGAGGAAGATACTACTACCTGGAGATCCTCGTAAATCGGAATAATTCCAATATTCTACAACGTGACGTAGTTTACTTCGCCTTTGCCGTACACCACGAAAATATCAAGCAGGTGTCCGGGGGGCAACATTCACGTGGCACTGGATAAGCCCTCAGCACTTGCATTTTAGATACCAGCCGGGGGAGGGCACCTTGAGCTATCGAGCACCACTCAAGAACTGAAGCCTGGCTCATCGTCATCAAGCGGTGACTGCAAGGCCTTATCTGGTCTGGACCCCACGACTGCTTCAGAGTTGTCCTTCCTGGCTCGAATTACATGAGGTCGCAGTATGATTGGGAGTCCGCTTCCGCCTTCCGATGGCTGTTTGTGCATGACTCTGCTCGTGCTGACGCCTCCTGGAAGTGCGTCGCTCAAGCCTCCGCATATTTGGGCAATATGAGCATTGCCATGGCCTTTATGCAGCTGGCGCTGCTCCCGCTCTGCTGGGCGGCTGGCTTGGCTCAGCGGAGCTATCCTCGTTGGGCCCTTGGCCTCCCGTGGCACCGGTTTGCTGTTTAAGCCCGTTCCCAAGAGGCGTGACCGTGGCCATCAGCGTGTGCTGTTCGGGCTGGGTCTCGAGGTTGTGTACTGGTGCCCTGACCTGTGTGCAGGCGTCGGGGAGGGTTGGAAAACTGTGTGTACATAGTGTGTGATATAGTATGTATAATATATATGTATATATATATATATAGACAATACATACACTTACTCTTTTATTCGTAGAAGCAGGCACACTAAGTCGCTAAGTCATAAGAGGAGACCGGCTGCGGCGCCAGCGACAGTCAGAGAGACACGAAGGATGGGTCACTGCTGTGCTCGGCAAGCAGCTGCAGCGCGGCTCCGATGAGCAGGTCTGCGCCGGCATTGCAGGGCTGCAGGATACGACTATGACAAGCAAAAACGGGAAATGCTCGAAGCCGCTGTTGACTGTTGACTGCTTTTGCTCTTCGATGCTTGCGAGGCTTCGCGAGCCTTCTGGCTTGCACGAGAGCGGCGTTGCCAGGTGCACTGCGGGACTTGGGTTTGAGAAATCTCAGAGCTGCAGCCTGGAACAACATGTTTCATAATCGTGTCGAAACAATGCGTGATGCCGTGATGCCCGGCTAAAGTGAGGCTGTGCAGTTCCGCAAAGATTACCGTACATCCGGCGGATCATGAGTTCGGATGCCTAAGTCGCTTCAGTTCGCATGTTTCTGCTGTGACGGTTTGGTATGCTTGTAGACATCAGACAGAGCCGTTCAAGCAATTCATTCCTACGACAGCTGATGGCAGATGCACGGCGGTACGAACGACTCTCCGATGGAGTTGATCCGAGGAGTCCTGTCGCGGAAGCAGCCCCTGAAGGCTTGCCGTCAATTACCTCAACTTGATTTTGGAACCGAGTCATCTTGCAAGAACAGCTGAATCATGCTGCATCTGATCCGTCAGCGTGGGGACATTCGCACTGTTTTGCTCTCATGAACGCTTGGGATCGCCTGGACCTAAGAGTCTCAACAAACTGGCGCTGAGGCCACTTCTTTGTACCTGCTGTACTGTTCTTCTGTCACCGCCAGCTTTATGCACTGCAGGCCCGCTGAAAGCAGAGCATCACGGTAATACCTGCAGAACGTTGAACGAAGAGTGGACATCTCCGATCCTTCAGTTCTATGTTAGGTTGCTGTCGCTTCGCGGCATAAGGACATGCCAAAGATTGAAGCTTGTGTATGCACGGTAGCTGCGAGGTAAAGCTGATTAGAATGCATGTGAATGCTTCGGAGTGCTGCCCTCAAGTCTGGTCGAGCCTGGGGGGCAACCTGCTGGAATCAGCGACAAGCTTGGCCTCTGAAACTTAAACACCGACTTAGAACAATCACAAGCTTCGGACTTTGACGGTTAGCGTGCATTCGCTACATGAGCGCAGGCATTACGCAGCTAGTGGTCAGCCGTGGTTCGTGGAAGAGGCAGCGGCGGGATGGGGAGTGCTTCGCTTCCGCCATTTTCCTGATCCTGTGGCTGTCGCAATTGCAGTGCTCTCGCAACCATGGTTGTGGCCTAGCTGTGACATCAAATCTAACCATCGGCCATCAGGTGGCACACATGGCCTCGGTCTCGGCTGCACGCGTCGAGATAAGATGTCATGCACCTTCAAGACTTCCGTCTTGCTGATTGGTGTTAGCAGACCGCGGACAAGATGCTGCCATATGGGCTGAGGCACGGTACATCATGGAAAGCCAGCTGCCCAGCCTTTCTCATGCCTCGATGGATGCTCACTCAAGCGCCTTAGGCCACGATGTGATGCAAACCTGCACTGGATTTTTGGCAACTGCGGCGGCCTTACGGCCGAAGCACAGGGACTCCTCGCTACTGCGCAGTCTGCAAAGTGCCGCTAAAGGGGCCCTGACAGCTTTTTCCTTTCTCCTTCTGAGCAGCGGCCGCAGGCACTGTTCATGACATTGTCCTTCCGTGCCCTGAGCTACTCACATCTAGTGGCACAGTTATTGCACTACAGTTGTCGAAGCATGCCACCTTTCGGATCATTTCGCGTAGGTATGAACAGAGCGGCAACAAGATGGTGGCATGGACGGGAGATGTGTGCCCAGTCTTGCCATATCCTGCATGTGGTTGCATAGCGCACGTCGGGTGTAGATGCAAGGGTCACACCGTCTCGTTGGAGACTTGAGCATGCCTCTGGGTTTCGAATGCGACGATGTGCATGTGAAAATTTGGAAGGTGCCAGAATGCTGAGCAGCGCACGTTCCCTCGGCCAAGAGGCCCAGCTCTGCTGCAATGACAAGGCCGAAGCGTGTGGAGTTCAGTTTCCCTTCCAAGCCTGCACATGGCGTGTTTCGCTTGGAGCGCAGGCTTCTGCGATGGAGCTCAGTCTGCTAGTGGCACGGCTGTCAAAGTGTGGCAAACCGTTTGGATTGAGTTTTGGTCGATTTTCCAGCTTCTCCACCCCCTCATGAGGGCTATGCCTTCGTGCGATCCGCAGAGTTCCATGTGCGGCTGGACAGCTGGGATTGATACGTTGAAGGGAATGGGATGATGGCAGAGTTGACCTGAGCAGTGCAAGTGAAGCGCCCGAATGCCCATTTGCATGGTGCGCAAAGTGCACGTAGAACCGAGTGCTTGGCCAGACGTGCGATGAAACAAGAGGAGCCTCCCGAACGCTATGTCGAAGCCTTCGTTTACTTGCTTCCGAAGCCGATCCTTGAGGCCCCCCATTGCCGGCATGCAAGAGCTGCAAGCTGGCTGCAACTCGCACTGCGTGGCACCAGGATCTCTTGGCAGCTCCACACAGACCGTATTTTTTGACCCAGCGGCTGACCTCACGGCTTGCAGATGCGCAGGGCACCCGGACATTATGTGTGATGGACATGACGTAGCTGCCTGCCGCATCGGAGACGATGGATTCGAGGTATGATGCCGGACACACAAAAAATGTGCGCCTGGCCAGCTGGCCCAGTTGATGTGCTCAGGGGCTCACCGTGTCCGGTGATCTGTGTCCACTGCCAGGTGTGCCCGAGTATGTCCTGACCGTCTAAACCCTGCTGAGTTCCAAGAACTGTACTACAATGTCTTTAATGTAACTTACCTTTCGGACACTGACGGCAAGACTTGAAGACTTACCAGAGCCGACCCTCCTGTGGACCGTGCAAGAACCTGTGAATCGGAAGATCATCGAATCTATCTCGCCAATACATCAGCACGAGAGACAGGTTGGGAAGTACACACAAAACATAAGTTTGCATCATGGTTTGCAAGGACGCAGCCGTCGTACCATCAGCTTCACTTGTGTCACTTCGAAACATGCTTTTCTCCTCACAAGCCCACTTCAAACACTCTTCTAGCCAAATCCAGCTTTCAAGTTGAGCTTGGCTTGCTGTCCTGGCATGGCTCTCTTGACTCCAGCTGTGGTGCTTCAATCATCGTGCCGATTTGAATTGGAGGAGGTAACCTCAAAGAACCTAGATCTTGTGGGCCGATTTGGTCGTTGCAGGAAGACAGCTCAACGCACTCGGAACTCCTCTGACTTTCAAAACCAGAGGCATTTCAGAAGCATCCGTCCAAGGTTGTGGCGGTCCAGAACCATGTGAACAAGTTAGCCCAAATCATGGAAGGCCGGCAGTAAGAGAGCAGCGAGCTAGGGCAGAATCCGTGGAGGCGGGGGTGGCATACGCTAGCTGAAGGCAGAAGTTGAAGTAATGCCGAGCTCGCATGTTTGAGTGCGCGTTTCCTTTTGATCGTCCGTATTCCTGGCTTGGCAGTGCATGAGACATGCATGCTTTCAGCAAGCAGCCGAGATATGGAAACACTCCGCAGTACACCAGAGCCGTGGGGATACCAGACACTTGATTCGAATATTGGTGGCTAGCGGACGGAGAGGGCAGCGGAGATGAATGCTGTATTGGTGTGCGGTCGGGCTCAGGGTCTAGATTTCCATGAACATTTGCGCATCATCAGGGGCACTGGAAGTTTGGGGGTCGGGGTGCACGTGTTTTGGAACAGTTTCTGTGTCGGTTGACTTCCTGTGGTGGTTTGAGTATCCGTTGCACTTGTCACCATAATTTGGTTTCATGGGCAGCGTGTACTGTGGATCAGAATTCAGGCGGCTTGGGATAGGCTGGAACAACGGCCCGCTCTCCAAGCCTTAGGCCTCGGTTGTTTTTGCTCCAGCATGCAGCCAGTAAAGTTTTCAGTCATCGGACCCCAAAAACTGAATGGGCACAGGTACGTACACGTTACACGGCAGAACAAAAGACTGTGGGGAGAAGGAAGTTTGGAGCAGGATGACAGTCGAGGCATCACGAGTCGCGGTCGTAGCCGTGCAAAAATCTGAGTTTTGTTCCAACCTCCTCCACCTGCCCGAAATGGCCGCTGTACCACAGCTCGTCTTTCTGCTCGGCGGCTATCGAAAGCATGAACCCCGAAGTCCGACATACGGGCTCGACAAGGGAAAACATTCTACAGAACCCTTGATGAGTTCCCTTTCTGCTGCCTTGTTGTCGGAAGCAGCCTACTAGGCCCTGTTTCGATTTGCTTAGTCTGAAGCTCCGGGTGGAGAGAGAGTACAAACGTGAAAGCAGGCACGTGTGGGCGACACAAGATCTGGTTAGTCGGAGAAACAAACAAACAAACAAAGACAATCGTGTTTGAAAAAGCTTCTGGTTGATTTTGGTCACGATTGAAGATGAAGCAGAGGCGGATTGCAAAAACAGGTTAAATGACTGTGCTAGTACTGGTCCTTGTCAGCATGAAAGCCTTCGTGCATTGTTGGTCTTTTGGAGACGACACCATCCAAAGACGCCAAAGACAAGGAAGCACAATGCGCTCTTGATGCAGCTGTGGCTCGCGATTTTGCCGGTGGCATTAGTCACCAGCTCAGTGTTGCAGGCTGTTGCATACAATTGAATGCGCCGCTCTGAAGCTGCACACACTCAGCCGAGACCCCGACATTGCTGTGGGCAACGCCGCTGCTAGGCGGAAATCCAGCATCTCCAAGTTGGCCAAAATGGTAGTTGCTCTCAAGGAATAGCCCTTCTGTATTAATACAGGCCTTGGCGATGTGCAGATGGTCAGGAGTGTATATGTAGCCCACCACATCCGGCAGGTGCCTCCATCGGCTACGCAGTGTACAAACTGGACCGACGCAGAATCGTAGAAATCACACATTCGAGGGACTGGTCATTGGTTTCCCAAACGATACAGCACATGATGGGTACTCCTGCGCTGTCATGCCCATCCGCCTCGTGCGCGTACTGCGCAAATGGCACTTCATCCAGAATGTCGCCCCAAAGCATTTCATGGATTCCGACCGTTGCCGCCACTGCTTGAGGTTCCTGTCCACAAGGCCCGACATATCCCGAGGTGCACGTCGGAACTCATAGCCGCAGGATGCCGCAGGGCTCAGGCCTCCGCATATGCGGCCGGTGGTCCACAAAGCAGCCATGATGCGGAATTTTGTGTGCTAGCGTGTATCCCTGAGTGGTAGGTGTTTGTGGGGAGGTCGGCATATGTCCAACCGGTGATGGGACCAATTGCTTGCTACGCTGGGCGTTCAGAGTCTGACCGATTGACTACGTTTAGATGCGTCATGCGAGAGGAAGACGTCGCCGTTGAGATCTGCAACCCCTTCGGAATGGACAACAGCGTGATCCCCTCGGCCAAGATATTAAGAGCAGATAAGAGGGTGATTATAGCCAAGCCTTGTACATCTGATGGCACGTCGGGAGAGCATGAACGATGCAGCCGAATGCATCCTGTGCAGCTCTGGGACACGCCATCTGTTCCGGAAGTGCTCTGCAGCAGCCGAAGCCAATAGAAGAAGCTCCGACAGTGCATGTTGACTTGTGCGGTGTCATTGTAGCCATCACGCCTGCAGGACATAAGCTTGTGCATCATGAATGACAGGTCCGCTCCCTAGCCGTCCTAAGCACTGTTGCGCACTTGATTTCAGCAAGCAGCTTGCTGACCGTTCGCAGAGCGCTTTGAGGCTTTGAGTCGAGTGGCCGGCTGTCCTGACATGTGGGTCCTGACGTCGCATGCCTCGTTCTTGGTCAGGTTTCAGCAAGAATTGTTGGCAGCACTGCAGACTTGGCTACAGCACGACAACCGCGCTTCTGTAGCTTCGGGCTGAGAGATTGAAGCACATCTCTTGTTCGCGGCTGTCGATGAATGTGCCGAAGTCTCAGGTCATCCCCGAGCTTCCAAGTGAAGTAGCTGAGAAGATGGATGAAGTGTGCCTAGGAAAAAGGGCCAAGGGCCTGCTTGGTGTTGGTTTGCTGCAACGAACCTGCGCTGTGTTGGCTCCGGGGGTTCTCTCGGGCGAAGGCTGCACAGGCCGACTCTGAGCAGATTCTTCGAAGCCTCGTTGAGCGTGGAACTGCCGCTCCGGAGGCTAGGGCCGCTAGGAACCATCGAAACCAAGACTTGGAGCATGTGCGCATTGATCCAAACTCCTCCGCTCGTACTCAGGAGCTGTACGGGGTTCACCACTTCGTGCGAAGCTTTACGCATCGCGGGAATCCTGCCAGAAACTGAGATTGTGGCTCGCGTGCCTGGGGATGTCTGGGTGTAGGCCGCCAGGCTGAATCTTGATTGTTGCACCCTGGCTGCCTTGTAACGACACAGAAGCAGAAAGTAGCAGTACCGACGTGGATAACGAAATGCAAGGAGGCACCGAATAGGCCGTGCAATGAACACATGGGAATTCGCGGCTTACCTGCCTCGGTGCACAGTTCGACGGCGCATCGAACAGGATGCCCTCCAGCAACCTGCTCCGTTTCCACATCACATACCTTGCTGACCTCGGATTGCAAGCACAGTCATAGCCAGGCAGAACATGGCAGAACAAAGAATCTAAGAAGGACCAAGCCGTGCCCATCCCGACTAAACCATCGAGGCCGACGCAGACCGCAAGAACTTCCGGCAGTTCGCATCCACATTTAAACTGCCTGGCCAGCCGCAGACTCGATTGGGGATGATTTGGGAGCATTGGGCTCTGCCTCCCCCATTGAATCGCGACTTTTCAAGGCAGCCACCATAGTCCACTGATGTCCGCTGCATCTGCAAACCACGAGTCGGCCGAATCCCACACCAAGAACTGCAGGATGCCGTTTCCAAGAACCCGGAGACCTTACGAGACCTGGATCAGAACGCAATTGAACGGAATCCAGCTATGTAGGGCGTTGCAGGACCCAGGGTATCTTCGGGGCTTGGTGGTTGTGGGATGCGGAGGCTGTCGGAAGTTGACAACCTCTGCACTTTCAAGGGCATCTTGAGAGGATCGGTTTGTCCCCCAGGCACAAGCTTCTCGAGGGGTTTCAAGACATCGCTGCAGAAGCTGGTGCCTGGTCTGCCTGGCATGCTTGCGAGATCTTGCGAGTCCGGCCATGAAGGACGCAAGGCATGCGAATACCGAATACCCCTTACTATGTTTGGCAGAGCAGCATGCTGTCGTTCTTTGATGTTTCTGTGCATGCACTCCACTCGAACTCGGAATCGAGCCGCACCCGAACGCCCCGAGAGAAACTGAAGTGGTTTCGGCGCTTTGCCACTCATCATTTCGAAGTTTTGGAGTTTTCAGGTCCTGAAAGCTCCAAAATGATAAGCCAAAGGGTTTGGGCGCCCTGGCTCGTGATTTTTTTTGAGCTTTCAGGTCGCTAAAATAATGAGCCGAAGAGTTTCGTGCTCTGCCTCTCTGCATGTAGCATTTTTCAGCCGAACTCAAACTCGAACTGAATCTCCGCAATGACGAAACTCGCGAGATCGAAATGGTCGTTATATTCTTGAGGCATCGACAAGTATCCTACATTCCCTCGAAGGCATCTTGCTCTCCCATGTCATCAACCTCGAACTGCAGCCCCGCTCCTTGCACTTGACAAAGCCAAAGCTCCCGCGAAAATGATGACCAGACCGCTGTGACGCTTACCTCGAAGTCGAAGTCGAGCTAATTGTGGGCCAGTGGGCCCATCTTCCGAAAGCGAGTTCGCGCCATCGAAGCAACAGTTCGAGGAATCCACCGCAATGTGCTATGGCTTTTTGCCTGGCCTGATGCGCATCGGACTGTCTTCTTCGCCAGTTTGCATGTTTTGGATTGTCACAGGTGGGCGGAAAAGGCTTACCAAGAGGCGATCGCTGGTCAGAGCCACAGCAAGCGACATGGAGCGCCTCTTTTGTTCTACACTACAGAATTTGGATGGCCTGTTGACCGGACACTCCGCGGTGCTGCAAGACGGCAATGTGCTGAAATTCATTCACTGTCACAAGAGTCACAACAGCGCTTGCAGGATCGAAACAGTGTGCGATACTCCATGCAGTAGTAAGTAGTATTGGAGTGCGCGTCGGAGTCTATCCTTTGAGAGTTGTTAGGTGCGGGTCACATCCCTATCATGCAGCTGATGGAATTGGCCGCCCAGCCCTCGAGAACGATTGCATAAAGACACTTATATGTCCTGTTTAATTAAGAAGATTCGACAAAGTCGAAGGTTCAGTCAGGGCAGCTTTCGACTGTTCTGAGGCAACCGTTTCCGACAACCTATTTAGCCTGGCGCGATGAGAGCATACTAGTAAAGAGGCTTCTGTTCCTGGCCAACGACCTCCGTTGCTGAGGGAATTGGCTCTTCCACCTCCTTCGTGACAGCCGCTCTAATTTGCTTGCAGCTCCGCCGTGGATGACCAGACACCGACTGTGCAAGATCGTCAGTTTGACTCGGCAACTTGATGGTTCGCCTTCCTGCACGGAAGGTGGGCTGTGCCAAATCGAAACGGGCCAATGATCAGCAATGTGGGAAGCAAACCCGTAGGGGGCTGGTTACCCTCAGATACACCGATTTCCGCAGCATCACCTCAACTATCAGCCAGTGTTGCCGCTGGAAGCAACACAAGCACGCACAGCTTGAAACCTAAGACCCCACGCAGAACCTGCGACATTCCAGAAACCCTACACCTTGTTTACATCATCAGGCTCCCCACCCAACTCCGAGAATATACACCCCTAAACACCCACTATGTGAAGCCTTGCCTGCTGCATGCGGGTGTGAGCCTCGAAACACCCAAGCCGCGAAGCCTATGTTGTCAGTGGCTGGCACGGAAAGAAGCAGTACAGCATACATTCCTCGGGTAGGAGTGGCTTCGAGCCTTTGGAAGAGACAGGCACTGAAGAGAAGCACCCAAATCTGAAGTACAGTATAAGTATAGCAAGGCTTTACAAGTCCCAAAGCCTTTAGAAGAGACAAGCACTTTCAGGCAGTTACAATACACAGAGATACACATAGTACATCGGCCTCAACCGACAAGATTCCAAACCCCGACACCTGCTAAAAAGCGCCGTCCAGCAACGGCAGAAAGTTTTGGTAGCGAGAGCTCCTGAGGGAGTGTCGTTCATTACGCCGTGAGGCTGGGGCAAGAGGAGTTTCAGGATTTCCCTTTCCGGGAGGCTTTTTCCGAGTTGCGGCTGGCCGGCTCTTTTTGTTTCTGCTTTGCTCGCCGGGTTCCTTCGAGTAACCGGGTGGTTACGCTGATGCTGCTGGTGCGGTCCTCCGCGACTCGCGCGAAAGCGTCTGACAGCACCCCTCCCTTCCTGCCAGCTACTTTACAACCCCTGCATGCAAAAATGATCAAGGATACATGGAGAGCTTTCCGTGGATGTGGCTTTCAAATTCTCTCAAGTACAATCGAAGTATGGGGAGAAGCACCCCGACAGCAGCAACTTAGCATCCAAGGTTTTGTCGCTGCGACAACGCATAACTCTGGCTTAATGTGGTGCTGCTGCACCCTGCAGCAGACTGCGGCAAGCCTTACAGTAGTTTACTTTTTGATTTTGTCGTACGTGCTAAGGTCTCCGTCGGTGCAGATCCGCAAGAGCCGATGCTACTCAGGGCTCGAGATGTCAAAAGCCGAGCGAACTGACATGCACCGTCGCAATGGATTGCACCTTCTGCGGTGTAACGTCCAGGTTCTGTTGGAAAGGCTTCGTGTGAGAATCTCTGCATTTGCTCAGGCGGGTCGTTCACTGGGGCTTTCAGTGTTGCAAAGTTTTGCCGGCATGCCGCCAGGATTGCATGGAGAAGGATGATCTTGCCGAAAAGCGTGCCAAAGAGCGTAATCAGGCAGCTTGGGCTCCCGAGCATAGCTCCCTGCCAGTCCTCAGTTCAGTATCCCCAGAACACATGCTTCCTCGCCGAGAGTCGAAGGAGGGAGCCCAGCCCAAAGGACTCTACCGCTAAAGGCTTGAAGGTCCACGAGGTTAATTTGTGCTGGACACAGTGAGCAACGGCGGATACGACACATCCAGCATCATGGCCAAGAATGAGAGTACCGACGGCCCGTGGATGGGGTCCTCGGGCCTAGGGTTGTGGATGAAGGATGATGAATTCATGCTGAAAGTTCCGAAGTTCTGTCGTGACGGACTGCTTTGTCCTCGTGGCTTGCGAGGTTCCCCCTTTGGGCATGGCGGCCACGAATGCAGATCGTATCGAAGCAGAAGTCTTCGAGGCAGCTGGCAGTCAAAAGCTGTAAAAGGAGGGCTGAGGAAGATTCCTTGGGTATGAACTGGCATGAGCACGAGAGCCATGAGAGCCGTGCGCCCCAGGCCATTCGCATGGGAATGGACAAAGAAGATTCGTGCAACTTGTCAAGAAGCATGTTTCGCCAGTGGCAGGAACTGCAGCACTTCCGATTCCCACTATTCCCGCAAGCTTCAGAGGCATGTCGAGCCAAAAAATGCCAGACGACACATCAGTGTTCCGCACAGACGCCGCTAAAAGACTTGCTCCTTGAATGGTTGGTCAAGAGCCGGTATACTTGCCCCGAGGGTAATGTATGGTAATGTGGCAGTCTCTAGGCTTCCGAGCTGCATCGAGTTCAGTTTTGGTAAACGCAAGACTGCCGCCTTGAGTTCTTTCGATGTTCGTCGGCCTACTAAATTACTCTTTGTGATTTGTCACGGACATGCGTACATGTGCTTCTGTGTCTTGGTTAGGATTCACGCCAACTTTGTCTCACTGCGCAGCTTGACAGCTCAAGACCGACTTTGCGTCAGGTCCAGCAAAAGGTCCGCTAGCACCTGGGGGTTCTAGTGCTGCCTTTCCGCTGAGCGTCAAACTTACGGTTTTAATCTCTGATCATCCTTGCTTTGCCTGCTGCCTTGCTTTTATCTACGATTGGTTGCCTTGGGCTTTGTGACCGAGAGTTGAGTGGAATCCTCCGCTTTTCACAGGTTATCAGCCGTAAGGCCTCCGCATCCGATTGTGGATTGCTGCTTCGCTGCTGCTGCTTGGCACTCGGACCGCCTGATCCAATCAGCGTCCGATCACTACCGTTTTCCTGGCTCAGACCAAGTTCGGAACTTGTGATTGGCCGCGCCACCGAGAGAATGGCGACTCCGATCGGTTCTCCCCGTGTCCCCTCAACTGTCGGTTCTTCACTAGTGACGCCAGTTGCTCGGGATGTCGTGGAGCCCGATGATAGTGCCCACGCATCTCGCTGCACTGCGCCCGCCTCGCACGCTTCGCTCGCTCGCTCTGCTTCGCTGCTTGCCTCGCCGCCTGCTGAGGACGATCAGAGAGCTCAGCACCATGCGCCGCCTTTGCCATGCTCTGCTGCTGCTGCTTTCGCAACGCCTGGCACGATGCCCGCCGGCATGCTGCCTGCTTCTGCCACTGCTCGTGCTTTGCCTTTGTTGCCTGCCTTTTCTGCGTCCGCTGCTCCTGCTGCTTCCGCACCTACTCCTCTTCCGACCGATCTCTCAGCTTGTCCTCTGTCCCTTCGCGGGGATCCAGAGGGCGCTCGGGCCCTTTGTGGGTCCGGGCCGGACGGCCGTGGTCCACCTCGGACCCGGCGTCCTTCCGCCCACCGCGCCCCGATTCCTATGGGCCGGTGGCTGGCCGCGGTGGAGCCTCGCTCCCCGATGAGCCCATGAGCGAGCATCCGGGTGCACCTCATGATTCCGTCGCAACGATTACCGCGGCGGGTCATGGTGGTGCCGCCCCCGCCATCGATAACGGCGGGTGGCATACCGGACCCTGTGCTGTCAGGGCCCTGGTCGATGAAGCCATTGGGTCGGAAGCATCCGCGCGCATCGCCACCGATATTCTGGCGATCGCGCAGGGTGTGACCAACACCCAGGCCGACCTCGATATACTGAGGAACGGCGTCTCGGATATCACCGAAGCGCTTGAGAGCAAGATCCGAGACATGTGGGAGCTTCTTCAGGCCGAATTGAGGAAAGAGCGTGAGCTGTTCATGCAGTTTCAGGACTCTTTCCGCGAGAGGCGGATTTCTGATCACGAGACGCTTGAAGATCATTTTGCGAAGCTCACCTCGACGATCAATGATCGACTTATTGAGTTCGATGAGCGGATCCATCAGTTCAACGAAAAGCGTGCTGGATCGCTATCCATGCAGCTTGCCGAGACGATCCGCCACATCAAGCAGTACCCAGACGCGCTGCGGCAGATTCAGATCAATATCTCTAATGCCGAAGCGCGCGTTGCTGCTGTGGAGCAGAATGCTACTCACCGCATCGAAGTCATCAGATCCGAGATGAGTCGCGCTCTCTACGATCATATAAGGAGAGCAACCGAGCTCATATCGATCAGCTGACTGCTCGAATCCAGCACCTCGAGAACGCTCATGTCCGCAGAGGCGGTTCTGATAGATCGACGCCTTCGCGTCCAGAACGAACGCAGTTCTTCGATATCAGTGACCATGGTGGGGATATTCCACGCCCTGCGGACCTGCCGCCAGTTCCAGGTGCTCTATTCCCTGGCGGACCGACTACGGCCATTCCGAGGTCTTCCCTGTTGGGTCCGATCGATTATGGCTCTCCGCCGGGATGCAATGCTGCGCCTGCTGAAAAGGCCTCAACGGTTCACTCTCAGACGAGTGGAATCAATCTCGATGAAATTCTGAGGCGAGCGCAGCAACGAGTCGCTGACGAACAACCTGCCGAAAGTCGTGGGCAAAATAATCCTGTTGAGCCCATCCGACATGATTTCGGTCAAACGTCGGCGTGCTTTTCAGGAAGATCGCTGAATCAGGCCGTTCCTTCCGCAAATGCCGCCGAAGCGACTTCCGGTCAGACTCCGAGCCTCAGGCCATTTCAAGTCGATGATGCTCCTCGCGCTGACATCCGACACGTCCCTGAAGCCCGGAGCTTCGCTCCTGAGCCCAGGTCAAGCCCGACCTTCCCATGCCAAATCTCCTATGACACTCGAACTGTCCCGGCAGGGAAGGGACCGTCACGATGGTATGATGCGATGCTTGGCCGATCGAATCTCATTGGCAACGGTGCTGGCGCACCAATTCTCCATAGTGAGACCGGTACTTTTACTCTTGCGCCGAACACGAGCGTTACTGCGACGCTTCAGCATGATGCGGCCAATGATGCCATGCCCCCGATGCCCACCTTCAGTGCCAGAACGTCCATTCCTGCACCCAGTGCCGCGCCATCCGGATTTGGTGGACCGCCTCCCGCGTATAACGGAGGCGGCGGTTATTCTGGTGGTGATGGCCCCAACGATAATGGGGGTGCATATGGCGGTGGCTTCGGAGGACATGGGCACCACGGGTCCGGTTTTGGTCCCGGTGGCGGTGGTGGCCCACCCGACGGCCCACCTGGTGGTCCGCCTGGTGGTGGTGGCCCTCCTGACGGGAGTGGTCCGCCCGATGGCGGCCTTGATCCGCCTAGCATCAGGCCCTCCGGTCGGCCGAGTGGGAACGATACGTTCCAGTGCGAGCGATGCACCGGAACTTTCCCGACCTTCGTGCGACGGTCGTGCATCTCTTGCCGATTCTCGTGTTGCAACGGATGTTGCCGAGATCCTTTGAGAATCTGTCTCGTGTGTCTTGAGAGACAGACTGGGAATCCACCTGGTCCCAACGATTCGGGATTCGGTGGACCCAAGGGCGATGGATCACTGAGCGAGGCCAAGAAGGCGAAGTGCAAGTCCTTTCGTCTCGATCCTGAGCCGGAGCCTGCTCAGTTGCGACGCTGGATCGTCGATATGAAAGAGCGAGTCGCGAATGCATTCGCCTACGATCCCGGATACGTACTCTCATGGGTTGAGATTCCCGATGGTACGCGATATGAGGATCTCCTCGATGAGTGCAAGTACGGAATGCTTGAAAATGAATGCAACTCTGCGTTCCGTGAGTGCGTCCGATCCATTGCACTGAAGAATAAGATCCAGACCGAGACCGAGCGCATGCATACGATAAACCGGCGACTCGGAAGTAGGCAGATCTTGTGGCTATTGTATGATTTCCTTCGACCACATGTCACCGGCGATTCAACTTTCAAGCTCGTTGACCTGATGAAGACCACGATTGATCGGTTTACTCATGGATCCGAGCAGGAAAGGTTAGAAGCCTTCTGCAATCGGTGGGATCATGTTCTCGCTGGTATCTCAGTCGATCGCCCCGAGGATCCTGTTCTCTGCGCTCTCTTTTATGAGCAGGTGCGTGAGTTCCGCTGTCTCGAGCTCGACATGCAGCTATGGGACAGGGACGTATCCGTACGGAACTACGCCTACTTGCGAACCGTCTGCGCCAATGCGATTACAACTTGGCGCCGACGACGCAATCAGGAGAAGATGTACACCGCTACGAGGTCTACTTCTGCGCAGAGACGATACGCTGCACCTGCGCACGGCAGCCCGCGCAGATCTTCATCCCGAGGTCAAAGGGGGTCAAGATCGCCTGGGCGTCGTGACTCCAGAAAGGGGAGTCCGTACCGAAGGAGCTCGCCGAGGCGCTCGTCACCCAGACGATCCTCCCCGCGACGCGGATCGCCAAGACGATATTCCCGCAGTCCGGGACGAGCAGCTCCCGCACCGACTCGCCCAATGTCGCGATCCCCGCGAGGACGGGAAATCTGCTACGATTTCAAGAAAGGCAGATGCACGCGAGGAAGCGGATGCAAGTTCTCCCATAACCTGAAGGGAAGAAGCTCCTCGCCGAAGGGTTTCCCGCCTCGATCGCAATCACCGATTTCAAAGGAGTCTGGTATTTGCTTCTACTTTGCACGAGGCACTTGCTCGAGAGGAGACAAGTGCCCTTATAAGCATGTGAAGCCGGGTGCCCCAGCTGAGAGCACCCCTGCTGCCGCTCCTGCGCCTGCTGAGCCCGCGCCGACGTCAAGGCGGGTTGACAGCCCGGCGCCCACGCCCTCGGATTTTTGAGAGGGGCGTGCCGCAACCCTCAGGCAATGACAGCATCATTCTATGGAGACTTCGCCTTCGCTTGCGTTGCATCATTCGATATGGCATGTCCGTCAGTCAAGCGGAAGACAGTGTCGTTTGGGAATACTGAGACCCGCGTGATAGAGTCTTCTTTCCCGGAGCCAAACTTCGGTCCCGTCAATCGCGAGAGGAATTTGAACTATTCGTGGCCGGAAGATATCCGTGGTCTGAATAGTGCTCGCGAGAGGCGAAGGGCGCACATGAAGGCTGTGCTTTGGAGAGAGCAGGTTTTGCTCGATGACGTTGATGCCAAAACGCTAGGTAATGATGCTTGCGTTCTTGAGCTCACGCTGTCTCAGCGGAGCGCTTGCGAGGTCTTTGCTGCTGCCGTCAAGTCTATGAAGAGGGTCCGGAGACTAATGCTCGACTCCGGGTGCGGTATA